CTACCGAAATGTATATCTTAGTAAATTAATATTTAATAATTTAATTATTAAAAATAAATGTATATTTATTTCTTGCTGTACCCTAAAGCCGATAAAATCCATTACTTTGGTGGATTTTCATATAAATCTCTCCATCCAGAGTCACCTTGAGGAGAGATGGGTAATATAAAAATTAAGTAAGTAAGTAAGTAAATGAATGAATAAATGAATGAATAAATAAATCTTTTTACTGGGTCACAGTGATACAAATCTGAGTATTCTTTAAGCAAATATCTCTGTCTTTCCTTTTCTATTTCTACTAAGTTTAGCTTAGCTGATTTCTTTTGTTCACAGCTTGCTAATACGAATTTTATTTCTCATATAAAACTAGATTTTTGATCACTGAGCAAACATAGAATAACACTGAATCTCCACAGTCCTTGAGCACTTCTGTGCTGATGTTTGGTCTTGAACTGTAAATAAATTTAATTTATTTACATGCCTCAAGTACGACAAACATATAGTCACATTTAGATTAAACCATAGCATTTACACCTATCTTGTGCTCCAAAAAAAACAGTTGCAACCAGAAAGTGACCCAATATGGCCTTAACCCTGACTATAATTGTTTGCCAGCTGCTCCTATCATGATAAATTCCTAGTATTAGAGTATTCCGCTGTTCTGAGAATCTCTTTCATTGGATCAGCCAGATATATAAACAATATAAACTGGGGTATTCTGGGAGCTGAAGTTCACCCATCTTAAAGTTGCCAAGTATGAGAAACACTGGTTTAGAAGAGTGAGATTTCCCCAGAACATACTAGAATTGCAAAACTTCTGGTCTAACCTTGAGCTGATAATGAAAGACAGAGCTTTACCAATCAAGTGAATTATAAATATAAGATAGAAAACCTGGAAGGAATATATATCTATTGTTATATTTAAAAAAATGCTTCAATGGCCTGAAAGGATAAATGACTTTCACTGTAGCTCCATGAACAAGATTCAAACCCACAAATAATCATTAAAACCCTTCTCAATATCTCTTTAGCCTTATCTGAAAGAAACAGAAGATGGTTCAAAGAGAGGATCGATTTGTTCAGAGGTTCAGAAAAGAGAGGCACTAATATTAAGGGCAGCAGGAACTGGTATCATGTAATCTTGCTCACTATTTCTGTTATACAACCATTGAGTAAGAATAAAATAATATATGACAAGGGCAAAAAGGCTATGTTGTAACCATTCATAGAGTGTTGTTCAAATATTTAAAGAAATAATGATGGGGAAACAGCAAACAAGTATTGACAAAAGGCAATGACTAATAAGCTCAAGCAACCATATTTTTAAGGAACAACAGTTTTACATTGATAGGACAAACCACAATTATAACCCTAGAGACTAAAGAAATTAATAATTATAGCACGCACTCAAACACTGACTCCTTTTACAACAATATATTGTTGTATCCATGTTAGAATTGAAAACTTTGTATTTCTATCCCAGGTAAATCTTGCAAAGTTCTTTAGACCTTTTTCAACTGAAGTTTACAAAGCAGATTAAATTTGAAGCACAGATGGTTGACTCATCCTCTGCCAATTTTTAACAAGTCATTCAGAATGGACCCTGAACACAATCTATAAGTAATGTTAACTTTGCTAAAATTTGAAGAATATGAATTATAATGTTTCAAAATGTTTGTTGAATTATTATCAGCAAATTATTATGGAAGCTTAATGGGATTTGGTGGACTACAGAGCAGTTGTGAAGCATACTTCTCCGGCGTGTTGAGGTGATCAGGTGTACTGTCTTCTAATAACAATTAACTAAGAAAAACAAATCTGGTACCATAAAATAAAATACAACAGGACCAAACTATAAGGGATGCATAGTTTTGTACCTGCATAACTAGTTACAGAAATAAAAGTTAACATGGGGGAAAAGGCTACATCAGACTGAAACTTTGTGCATGCACTACAGTACAAGTCTCTGATGGAATTATCCCACCTTCACAATTATTAGCAATGGCTGGAGCCAATGGGCAATTTCTTCCATTTTATAAATGGAAAAGGAAAGACAGGCTTCCTTTTGACTGAAGAGCAGGGGAGTGAAAAGATAAAAAATGTCATTTCCTCTCAAAATAAATCAATTATCAAGATTCTTCATTTGCTGGTTGGTTCACTTTTAAAAGATATCAACTGTACACTACGAGGGCAAAAAGGGTAATAAACTACATCAATTTCTAATTTGGCCAGTAATGAAGGTAGCAGCACTTTGTAAAATGCAGAGACTTTGCCTATCGTCCTGAGCGAATTAAAGACTGTTTGCAGTTCTCCTCATTACAGAATTATATGCCACAAATATATTTTCAAGTACTATGCTCAGAAGGTAATAAAAAAATATTGTTCTTGGGCAAGACACACAACTTGAGTTTTTTACAGAGCAGCTGAAAGGTGTAACACAGCATCACACCTTTCGTTCTGAACTGTTTCCTTTATTTTAGGAGCACACCCGACTTCTGGATTCAGATCTTTAAAATCTCTGTTTCCTAAAGTGGGAAAGCATGGCCAATTGCTCTGAATGTATATTTGTAATGTTTCATTAGGCCTCTAAAGAGACTAGCAATAAACTTTAATAACTCAGTCTGATAAGATGCAGTTGTGCCTCCAAAGGAAGCAAAAAACACCCAAATAAATGACTAACACTTAGGCCAAAGGTCAGTCTGTATAATAACTTTCATGATCATGAAAACCAATGCTCGAAAAGAACTTCATTCAACTTTAAGACTGACCTTGTACCAGTTATCAAATGCTATTCCAGATACTAATCCCCAAACAGATTCTTGGAGGATCCCAAAATCTGCTTCTTTGTAAGAATTCTGTTTATTTCCCCTCTTATTGTCCATAAGTTATTATTTAATTTACTTAATTTATTATTCCATTTATTATTCCATTGTCCTTAAGGAATCATACATGACGAATGTCCATGGAATCACATTTAGAAGTAGCTTCTAAAAAAGACTACACATACTGAAATGGCCCTATTGCTACTTGTCATTCAGCGCACATCTTAGAGGTGGACAGTATTCTTACATTCAATTCATGCTACGCTAACAGCCTAAACACAGTCAGATGGTTTCTTCTTCTACCTTGTAAATCAAATTTAAAAAAGGAATGCAGAACAAATGTGCAATTACGGCATAATATAGAGAATCTGAGGTCTTCTAGCTCCCATCAAACTGTAACTCCCAATATCCCACTCCCGTTATCCAGGGGGACTAGAGCTGCTGGAAGTTGTGATTCAGTAGCATATGGATAATGTAACTTTTTGCATTATGGATTGATAACTATTAAAGTACAAAAAACCAAAGAGGAGAGATAAACAGAATTCTTACAATGACCGCAAATTTTGAGGTCCTCCAGTGATCTTATTTGGACCAGTGCTATTACCAGCACATATTGACCAAGCTTGTAGGAAATAGCTAATACATGTAAATTCTGAAAATTCTATCAGGTGAACATATCTACCAGGTTCCTTCCCAACTGCAAAAAATAAAACAGTGAAGCAAAAGGCCTTAATATGAAATTCATTCTTATCAGATCTCTCTCTGTGTCTCTGTCTCTCCTTCTCCCTCTTTCTCCTGAACTATCAGGAAAGAGAAATCTGAAACAGTCCAGTGCAAAGAGCAAAGATGTCTCTTTGTATTCAGAAAAAGGATGATAATGAAATAATTGAGATTCAGTGCTTAGAGCAATTTTTTATTATTATACAGTATTTTTAGTGTTCTGGAAAAATGAGTAGAGGAGACATGGTGGAAGATTATAAAATTAACTGAATGTTTGATTTTACCATTATTATTTAAGAATCACCTGTCAAAATTAGCTGGCAGTAGATTCAGAACAAAAATAAATAGTCCCTTAAGGAATTTACTATCTCTGAAATAATTAAATAGCTCTTAAAGGAGGATTAAGCAAACACATAGCAAGTGAATAAAGCTAATAGCAGATATTAACTGAGTAGTTGCTAAAACTGAGCTGGCTGGGACTGCTAATTCCTAGCCAGGAGCAAATTGAGACTGTAGTGGTAGGAGTGGAGAAGAATCTTTGCTGGAATCCGCTGCTTGTGCACTTTCCAGCAATGGTTTGTTGGCTGTGGTGCTGGATTAGATAGGTCCTTGCCCCAAACCATTTAGCTTCTTTTATGTTGTTAAGCAGCTCCTTCAGAGGTCCCTGCAATCTGCATTTGGGGTAGTGTGATAAACGGGCTCTGCATCAATCCTCTTTACATATTAACTTTTTAAAGACTGTAGCCTTTTTCTTCTTCCACTTTTCCTAGCAGGGACTTTTTCTTCTTAGTGCAAACATTTGACGTAATGTTTGGAATCTAAGCAGTGAAATAATATTGATGATTAAGGGCTTAGAAGATTAGGAGACTTGTCATCTACCGGCTACTCAATTGCCTTTTCAGTTTCACTTCTGGAGCTATTTGAGGGCCATTGAAGAACTGCAGAAGAAATGAATAAAGGAATCTATTCCTATCCATTTTGGCAATGGGGTTAATCAGGAACCCTTCCTTGCAATCTATGCGGGATCGCATCGGATCACTTCTGCCTTGAACAGAAGAAAGAAGGGAAGAAGCAGCAGCTCTAAGCTTCATGTTCAAAGTGTTGCTGATGCCAACAAACTGCAGAAATTACAACTTCATCACAAAAGGCAGGGCCTAAAGGAAGGAGAAGGTTTGAATAATAAAAGAAGGGACATACTGGCTTTGAGCTGAGGCCTCATCCAAAGGTCCTTGAGAACATAGAATAATAGAATTGGAAGGGACGTTGGAAGTCTTCCAGTCCAGACCCTATGGCCTATACCATTTCAGACAAATGGTTGTCCAGTCCCTTTTTGAAAGCCTCCAGTGACGGAGCACCCACAACTTCTGAAGGCAAGCTACTTAGAAAAAGCTAAAGAAAAAAAAGAAAGAAAGTTGGAGAGGAATGAAGATGCAGAAATAAGCAAGAATGAAGAGGTACCTTCTCTGACCGCCATTAGGGAAAGGGCCATAACGAACACCTCCATCAGATCCATTTCTCTTGAGTGTATATTAAATACAAAGATCTTCAGAGTTAGGCAAAAAAAAAAAAATTCCCCCAGCAAGCTGTGTATTTCATTCTCCTGACGTTATAACTAATTTCCATATAGCAACATCTCTCTTTCACTTGTGGTTTCACTCATCAAGAAACTGTCAATATGGTCCTAGACTGGGTTGCAGCTCAAGGAAGCTGAAAAATGCAGCAAAGTGAGGCAAGAGCATTCAGAGGGTGGAGGGAGAAACAAAATGAAACTCTTATCAAATGATACTGGTGATCAAGATGCTACAAAGAAAGCATTAGGGCTTCTTCCAGGAGAAGCGATGAGATACAAAGGCTTGATAGTTTTATCTTGGCTCTTTTTCTCAGAACTGCACAATTTAGCTGTTGCTTTTTTTCTACGATGAACATATTCCCTTTTCTTTTGATGGGCTGAATTTTTTAATGAAGATTGTTGACGTCAATCTTGAAATTATAAAATTCTGTGCATTATTTTTCAACCACCTCTTTTTGTCTTTTTTTAACCTTCGAATTCATAGTCTCTTTGGTTTGATATCCCCTCATTCCCCACTATAAAACTCAAGGGAAACTATTCAGTCGCTGACTGAAAAAGATGGGCACTTAGAGCCAAACTGAAACATCTTTTGGCAATTTCTTAAGATCCTTCAGCTGTACTGAATAAAATCAGTTCAGCTCAATCCTACTTCCTTAATGATTTCCTTTTTCTGTAATATCATTTCTACTGGACTGCCCATGCACTAGCTTTTAATTTGCTGTTCAAAGTCAAAGAAATCAGAAAACACGATGTGCCGGTAAAGGGTGTCACCCTATAGTTTTAATTTTAACTTTGGCCTCTAGTCTTCTCTACAAAATCCCAGGAAGCTTTGAAATGCTGCCCTCCAATGGATTTTTATCAGTACTACAGAACACACGGGGGAGCATTCAATTGTATTGTAATGTTGCTAGGTTGAACCTCTATATGTTCTGTCCATCTGCTCCTGAACAAACCTGTTCATTGGACAATGGTCAGTGCAAAACAGTGGTAAACTATGAGAAACCCTGTTGTCTCCTCACCATCCATTTTCTCTCTAGGGTGCCTCAGTGCCAGATACCACTCACACTCCAATATGTGGGAGAAACGGCCTGCTGCCTTCCTCCCTCCCAGCTTGTTTTTAGAAGTGCATGGAACGCTATTACAGTACAGACAAAAAGCAATGGATGGAAAATAACCAAAGAGAGAAGCAACCTAGAACTAAGGAGAAATTTTCTAACAGTTAGAACAATTAATCAGTGGAACAACCTGCCTCCAGAAGCTATGAATGCTCCAACACTGGAAGTTTTTAAGAAGAGACTGGACAACCATTTGTCTGAAATGGTATAGGGTTTCCTGCCTGAGCAGGGGATTGGAATAGATGACCTCTAAGGTGTCTTCCAACTTCTTCATCATCATCATCATCATCGTTGTTGTTGTTGTTGTTGTTGTTATAGTATCTGCCTCTGCTGGCTACAGGTGCTCTCTCTGCAAAACTTCTATAAGTTTGCAGCGCAGAAATGATAAGGGTAATGGAGAAAAAACACAATAGGTTTGATTGAAAGCAGGAAAAGGTGTTAGCAGAGCTCAATATGAAAGATGCATCAAGGAGTTGCAATGATTGGACCTTAGGAATTTCCACTTGCACTTACTTTATCATTATTGGATGATAATAGATGGACTTTAATCTCAGGACAAATGCTGGTAACTGGGTGTATTGTTCTTCCACAGTTCTACTTTTTTGTTTGCTATTGTCATATCCAAAGGGAAACTCATATAGCAAAATATGCAAGTCTTATATTGCCTACATCCAAATCATGGCTTTGACTATGCATTTTCCCCATAAATGTTCATACAGAAGACAAATTAATAAAAACAGTAGGCACTTACGTCAGAAAGTCCTTTCAACTGCTTTTGTTAGACAAGTATGTACAGGGATCCACTTTTTTTTTGTTCTGCTAGTGATTTGGATTGTTATTTCTCCGCTGCCTGTATTTTATTTTTATAATGTTTTTATTGTTTTTATTTAATTCTATTTGAGCTCAGGATTACTAGATGAGATGGATAGTTATATACATTGGACAAATAAATAAAAAATAACCCATGCCACCTTCATATGTATTCCCACAGCTGTTGTTTAAAGAAGAATTACTTCAGCCAGATATGTCTAAAAGGCTTCCTCAAACATTTACAGCATCACCAGAATGGCCTGAAAATCCCAGTGATACCTTCTGGTTTCTTGACACCAATTTTTTCTCATTCCTAGGCTGCGCACAGTTGTGTGGGATAGCAAGATGGGTCATATATAAATGTAATAATAAATAATTTTAAAACATGATTTAAATAGTGTAATCCCATTGGTTTATATGTTACAAATAAACCAATTGTCTTCCTATTTATCATAGAACCATGATGGAAAAAATAAATATGGTAATTCTGCCTCTCTGCAATCTGATTTTTGAAGGAGTTAAATTCATGTGACCGGACCAGATTTTAATTGGTAGATTCTCATGCCCAAGTGATTTTGACACAAAGGCTACATCTTACATAAAAGAAAGGTGGGGAGCATGAGCCACCGGTTGTGTTTCAGCCAATCCCTGCCTTCAATATATCCGCCCTGACCCCTCCCAGAGTGTGTTGACCAGAACTTGCCTCAGTGAAGATTTTTGACTTGCTCAAAATTTACTTGTGGTAAAGTCCTTGTGAAGAGCCAGTGATTAGCTTGACAAAGTTCAAAGCAGAACAAAGGCGGTCTGTTTTGAAGAGTGATTTGTTTCAATCTCAGGATTAAATCTCAGAATCTCTGTTTTTGGTTCATGTGCTAGACATGTACTAAATGAATATTCAGCATAGCAACTCATCCACTCCCTTTTGCAGTTTAGAAGTGGGACTCTGCTTTTTAGTTTTGCTTCAAAAGGGCCCTTTTGCTCAAGCCTTACAAAAAAACAAATCCTATTTTTCAAAGATCTGTACTGCCTTACTGGACAGCACACATTTGTCCCAGGTGACTTAAAGTAGAAACAAGATTTCAAACAACGGAAGTAGGCCAGCAGTAACTGAATTTTGCTAAGTTTGACTGGTGAGGAAAGGCTTTAAAATCTGAACCTGTAAAGCAGTATTTTTCAAACTTGGCAGCTTTAAGGCATTTGGACTTCAACTCCAGAATTCCCCAGCCAGGACACTGGCTAAGGAATTCTTTAATTCCACCCATCTGCTATGAAGCTTGTAACTGTGATCTATTAGCTCAGTCATGGCAATTGCCTACTAGGCATTCACAAAACTGATTTAATATTTTGCCTACTTGTTTCTCTGCATTCCTTCCTGGCTGGTTGCCTGTTTTTGAATTCAAAGATCTGTTGCCTTAGTTACCCAGTCTTGACACTGTGAGTGGAGAAAGTCTCATTTGGAGAGAGGAAAAAGATCTTTTTGAAGTATTTAGTAGACTACTGTGGAATGCAAAGAAATGGATCAACTTTTTCTTCGATCTGTCCCAATTTTTCCCATTGACTTCTATATGCATTGAACTCAGAACTCTATATACATTATACTCAGAAATTGTCCTCCCAGTTTGACCAATGGGTTTGTTGACTGGGAGTTTTGAAAGCTATTGTCTGCCATATCTGGAGAGCCTAGAATTTATCTAATGCAGCCTAAAGTAGTGTATGTTCAATGTATCTTGAATCACACTGCGACAGGTAACTGATATTGTCCAATCTGTACTGTTTTGTAAACATGCTTGACTTCTGTCCTCATGAAACAGATCTGGGTACAATATTGGCACACGGGTGGCTCTAAATTAGCATAGGATGGTTTCCTTGCCAAATTATCTAAAGATTCATTATTGGTGCAGCTATCATTAATTTGGTTCTAGGCTAGCAAGAGTATAGATTTTGTACCAATAGGGATACGCCCCCAGTTTCAGCATCAAGCTGTTTGGACATAACTCAGCAAAACAAAGAGCAACCTTCGCCAAGTGATGATTTGGAATGCAGCTTCCATGTCAGATGGTTTCCCCCACCCACTTCATCTTTCTTATTTAAATTAGTTCAGAAAGTACCTGCCAAGATTAAAGTCAGATGTATGAACAGCAAATGTCTCTCGAAATTTGCTCAAGCTTTGCTTTAGGCCTCTGTCTTCCTCCTCTTGTTTTAAAGAATTGGTTGTAATTTCAAAGCAACACTTCTCAAATGGCATTTTGTTTTTTTTAGAACTCTAAGGTCTGGGCAGTTTCCTCCTGTTTTAAAACTTTCAGCATGCAACCTTGTTTAAAAGGCAATGAGAAATTAAGAATCAGTGCCATCATTCAATTAGTAGATCATGGGGGAATTAAGGGGGGGGAAGTTGAAATTTGATGACAACTCATCTCAAAAGCTCAGGAATTACATCAGAAGAAAATGGCACCATGAGAAAAGTGTTAATTGCGGCATTTGGGGATCAATTTGATTATTCTGAAAGATGGACATATTGCTGCGCAGTGACAAAGATCTAGAAATCTAGAAATCAAACTTTCAGCAGCAAAGGAAATTATTTCCAGCAGATATGATTAGGTTTAATATTTGAATCTGATATATTTTCCTCACTTTGGATATAAGAAATAGAACTATTGATTCACCTGTAAGCAGAACATTTAAAAATTGAACTGTTGATTGTCTGCAGGAAGATAGTCAATCAACTATCAAGCATCATGCCTGATTTTCCAATCTGTTTGACTCTAAAAAGTCTAATAGCAATAGTAGAAAGAAGCAGAGAGAGAAAGCAGCCTGCCTAGACAAGTATGTATCTGCAAAGTGGCTAAATCAGCCTTACTGATCATAGCAGAAATTTGCTAGATATGAAACCTTATAATTATGTTTACCGGCTCCCACTATGTGCTGCACCACAAAATGGAAAATTGTCTGCATCTATATCTTACCCCCTCCCATATGTCCATTGTTGCTGTAACCACACAGCTGTCTTACATTACCTCCCCAGGGCTTCATTCCTATCCCCCAAATGTCACTTTTGATTATGTATTAATTACTCATCACCCAAAGTGTGGAGGCACTGTAGTTAATACCCAGCTTGAATTTATACATCTTCCAGTTTGTCACTTAACTGCCTCTAG